ACAGATCGTGTGTGTCATCACAACGAGTGGATATAGGAAGAGGAAGGCTCTAGAGCACTAGGATGAGAGCAGAGCAGCAAAGAGCAGGTATGAAACCTTTGCTTTCATCCTCAATGCCATGCGGCAGAGAGAGAGGACCTCCTGATATGTGGTTGTTGAACCAAAGCAGTTTTTATAGAGTAGCTCAGAGCCAGTTCATATCTAGCACCTAACCCAGTCCATCTATTTTGGGCTGAGCTCCAGGGTCATCATCTGCCTGTAAACACACGGTATCAGCCTAGTGTTAGATAAACACTGTGGATGCACATGAGCATGTACTGGTGAATACTCATGTGGTTGGATTATAACATTCTCTCTTTTAGACTATATCTAAATTGCTTGGGATGCACAGCGGGACTTTATCTATGTTTTGTACATCAGCTGGCATACTAATGGGGGTTAGAAAATAGTAACAGCAGTAGAATAAAATCAACTGAGTGACATTTAAAAATCATTGCAAAGGAATGTTCTCAGCACTGCTGTCTTGTTTGTTTCAAGCTGCAGCGTCAGGGCAGAGGCCATATAAAGCAGCAGAGAAGAGGGGATGCTCAAGGAAGCTGTGGCTGTCTGGTCACTTTGCTAGGTTTTTAAGACCGATGGTAGAACCTTGAAATCTTGGTTTCTGATTTCAGTGTAAAAATATGCTGTTGACTACACTTTTTTCTTGCTCAGGAATTGCACCACAGTTGAACTGTATGAAATACTCCTAAGTTGCAAACTGCACAAGGGGAAAAGTACATTTCCTTTGCCGCATGCCTTATTTTGAAACCTCAGAGATTTTGTGAGTGGGTTTGCAAAAGCACAATCCATTTGACCAACTCATGGAGAACTGGGATACAAGTTGGGGTAATCAGCCTGATTCCTCCTATCCTTGTGCCTTGAGAGAAAATGTAATCTAAAATTTTACACTCATTTCGTTTGGATATTAAAACATGCAAAAGCACTGGAAGAGCAGAGCCAGTAGTTCCAGTTCTTATATTGTACCTAAGCAAATCAGGACTAATTCAATTAAATTCCTGGGCCCATTTTTTTATACAAAATAAATGTTTTATTTCCCTGTGAAATAACTCTGAAGTTTCTGTACCCTGCTAGGGCAGAACAGAGGGAAATGGACTTGTTTTGATGTAAAATTAGTAAAACCAAAGACAGGATGCTGACTAAAAATATCTACAGAAGAAAAAACTAGCACCTGATCCAAGGGGAAGTAATGAATGCATAGCTGATGTGGAATGATAATGGAGTATACCCACAGAAATGATTGCAAAGTTAATCTTAAAAATCAAATAACTTAATTCTGATCCAAGTGATCTTGATTAAAATCAACTTGAAAAGAATGTCTAATGATTTGGTACTGATGTTACTTCAATTAGTGGAAAAGTGTAAGAAACAAAAGGAATAAAATACTTTTAATCTTAAAAAAGGAGAGCTTCCTGGGGTGTGCAGAAGATGTGTACATGCTGGAACCACGATAAAGCTTCCCCTGCAAGGAGTAATGAGTTAGTGAACCTTTTTCAAGTACAACACTTTTCTTTTTGAAGCTAATATTTGCCTTGTAGTAACAGAGTTTCACAGTCACTACAAAGTGCTTGTTCATTTCTATGGCTCGGTATACGCTGCAGCCACAGTCAGTGCACATAAATGAATAGGTGGCTATCTTTCAGTTGCCTTTTAAAGTGTGATCTATAATGATAAATCAGTTTTGGGACTCTGGCTGGCACAGGGCATTGACAAAAGTCTGCTAGGGCCTATTTGCCCTGGCAGTGCCATTTATAATTTAGCCTTCACCCAGTGGTGCCTTGAGAACTGTTCCGATTTTACCCAAACCCAGACAAGAGTCTGGAGCTGAAATTTCACGTGACTACAACTGGTTGGAGAATTACCATGGATTCAGATTGCCCCTTCTTTTTCCAACATTTTTTCTGTATCCGCAACGTAAACTAAAGCCTCATGCAAGAGTTCTAGAGAAAAGCCAAAAATATGCCCTGCGAACATTTGTTATAATATTGCAAATCCTCCTGGAGCTTTCAATGTATTTCATTCAGTCAAAAAATACATATAACATCAGAGGAACTAATCAACAGCTTGCAGGTATAATCTCATTACCTTTGTTACTGAAGGTACTGACAATAGTTGACTCACCAATCCTAGTGATCCATTCCCTAGCCTTCTGGCACAAGGGGGATCTGCTTTCATCATCAAGTATGATTGTCATAAACTGGAATACCATTGCAAAGGTGCTCACATTTTCTCTGCTGTGATCTTGGTGGTAAATAAGATACCCAGCCCTCCTTGAAGAAGGCAAGAGTTCTCAATATGCCAGAAAACATGCAGCAACATATAGTAGCAGAACAAGAGCAAGTGGAACCACATTTATATGATATTCTAACACTCTCAAGAAATAGGGAGTAGACAAACTTGGATTGATGCTATAGCTTATGTTGAGAAATCTCATTCTAATATTCAGTGGAAGAGGAAAAATAATCCAGTAAAAAATATAATGCCTAACAGGTAACGCCTTTCCTTTTAATGAGCAGTCACACACATAAGTTTGTGTCATAGTATTAACACCCAGTTGTCTGAAAGCTAATATCTGTCTTGAAATACAAGTAATCAAACAGCAATATGAATATGGTACTAGAGAGACATAGGCAGCATGTAGTACATAGCTGCTTCCAGCATTTCTGAGGTATTATTTGGGGAAAAAAAAGCACAAGTAAATTAGCATTGTGATGAATGGCTATAAAAAAGAGGGGATGTGAAAAAGCCAGATTAGGACTGACTATAAAGACAAGATGAATGCCTACAAATCTGGCATTCTGTGATAAGCATCCTGTACTCTACAGCAAAGCGCTCTGAAGAACTCATGCTGTGAAAAAACAAAAAGGTAACTGCTACCTTAACTGAGATAAAGACAGATGTGAATTTTAACTCCCAAGAGTTAAGATTTATATTGTTAAAGGTAGTGATAATCAGTACGTTTCAATTTAATAGTAATTTAAATAGAAATAAAATGTTTACTTTGAATACTACAGTCCTGAGCTATAACCAAAATTTGTTTTTCTAATTCTGCAGACAGAATCCACCCACTCTTATAGATGAGTGTGTTCCAGAGCCTAAGCTTGTACTGAAAAAATTTTCTAGTCCTTATAGTTGCAAAGTTAACTGTCAAAACGTGAACTGACTGTAAGCAAAGAAGTCTGCCCAAGTATGACGATGGCCTGGCAGAACAGGTCTGCAAGAAAGTAAACTCTGAAAACAATTCAAATTTCTATTGATTTAATCATGTTCCAAACAGTATAATCTTTGTTGAGTTTTAACTGTAAAAATGTTAAAAATACATGATTAATAGGTTGTGTTTATCATTGAAAGAACACAAGTAATTTCTGCATGTAGAATGCAATGGCGTCAGTCCTTGCACATTTGTGCAGATGAAAGCATGGTTCCTTGTTCTCTCTTTTCCATTTTACACTCTTGCCCAGGGACAACTAGACTGTGGCACATCACACATACTCTATTTATTGGAGATGCTTGTTGTGCCACCAGTTTATCTCCATCTCAAGCACTTGAAAATAAAACTGTTGTGAAGTTTAAATGTATTTTAGTTCCATAAAATACTGGTTACAGACCAGTCCCAGGTCTGGATCTGACTGTCTTCAAAAAGTCAGCAAAATTAGGTTTGAGAAGCTTTCAGAAGCTTGGGTTTGGCTTATAATTTTTGTTGGCTTATAATTGTTTGGCTTATAATTGTTACGCCACAGTGTAACATTTGCTGTCTTCCTCTGAAGCAAATAAAAACATCTCCAAATTTAGATGGTACCATCAAAATATTCTGTGTTCTAGCCTTTGTTCAGTAAGGCTTAATGTAAATCCAATGACTGCACAGTAGCAATAATTATATCCAGTAAGACAATTATTATTACTGCCTTTAAAAATGTGCCCCCTGTTCATATAAGGGATACAACATCCACTATGATGCTGACAAAGTTACACATCTGGCTCAAGCATTTGATATTTTCATTTCAAGTCTAATGCTTTCTATTACACAACCACTTTAGCAGAAGTTGGTAAGAGCATAAGAACTGCTGGGCTGAATCACACAAAGAACTCCTCTTATTCAGTATCCTACCCCTGACAAAGGCTCAGCAGCAGAGACTTAGGGAAGGAGATTAAAAAACCAGTAGTGCAAGAGTGACTCTTGCCCTTCTGAGTAATTTTGTACATATACTTGTTCAAAGCTTTAACAGTTACAGCTAGAAAGATTACTGTTTACATGCTAATTATTCACAACTATTCACTGAATCAATGTATTCATATTTGTTCTGTAAATGCCTCCTTGGAAATACTAATCTAAACCCCAGCCACTCATTCACGTTTTTCTAAATGGATGCTTTTCTGTTGCCTTGTAGTACAGCCCACATGTATGTATGATGATAGTCTTTTAAAACACAAGATGGAACAAATTATGTATGTACAATATTTTCTCCACACACTTAAGAATCTGGCAGCGAATATTGTAATGAGTTACATAGTGGTACATTTACAATGACCAGAATCTACTTGCATGCAGCATGAGAATTTGGCTCTGAGGTATTTCATTATGAACTGTGCGTTACGCTTTGACTGCTTGGTTCTGGGACATGGTAACTGCAAGCATTTATGACAGGGTTGAGTTAGATTTTCATTATTCAATACTGCTGGCTGAATCACAATAATAAAAAATCTTTTAACAATGCAGGTTACTATTACAACAGCTCAAGGTCAACACCTAAGTTTAAACTTTCACCCTCTGTGCTTCTATAGTAGCAGTTACTTCCCAGATTCACTCAGTACTAAGGATATGCTTCAGGTATGGAGAATTCAAGGTTACAATGGCTGTGTCTAAGACAAGAAATAATTACAATTGTTACATACTTGCTAAGTTACTGTTTAAATGTTCTGATTACTTTATACCTTCTTTTTAGCTCCTTGCTCAGAAGTGGCCTTTTGGAGATTCTGAATTTGGACAGTTTCTTTGCAAATTCCTTCCCTTTATACAGAAGGCATCTGTGGGAATCACAGTACTTAATCTCTGTGCCCTTAGTGTGGACAGGTACAGTATGTTTCACTCTTTTGACAGACACTGTTCTTGCCTTTGCAGTTTTCCTAAAACTGGGAGCACTCAGTATGGTTGTCTTAGCAGGCAGACTACAGTATAGATATAACTAATATTCTGTTTTTTGGTATCCTGCACCACATCTGTGGCTCAAGGTATAATATGAAGCTATTGGACTAATTAACTTTACAGGTTTTTCAAAGGTATTTAAAAGCTCTAGTAAAGCATTAGTTCAATTTCCTTTACCAGACAAAAATTTATCGGGATTTGACTCAGTATTCAGACTTCTTTCTTTCATATGACCTCATGTTTGTTTTGTATTTGAACAGGGTCATAAAAATAATTTCTTCAATTTCCTGCCTATGGACCATAATTACAGTGTTTATTTTGATAACTTTTATAACTAATTGAGTTTTATTGAAAAACACATTGGAAACTTGCTTGGATTGTTTGAAAATTAATGCCTCTGTTAAAAGTGCTTGGGAAGGTACATAACCTTTTTGATAGAACAACAGCTAAGATGCTTTTGAATATTATTCTTTTATGCTTTTTTTCTTCATACATATAGGGCAATAGCAGATGAAGACTTCACTTGTGTAAAAGCTATTTTTATTGGTCTTGAGTTTACTTGATCATGTTCTAGTCCAAAATAACAGTAATTCTGATACAGAAAGTACTGATAAATAAAATGCATTATGTGTATTAGTACAGCAATGCCAAGGTAAAAGAAGCTTTAAAATTAATCCTGGTTTGATTTTACATAAACAGTTGATGTACAAGATTTGCAACGGATGAGTAACTTAGTAGTATCCATACCTGAAATACAGTTCCTTATTACATTAGTAACTTGTTAGCTGAAGCCAGAAACAAAAAAAAATGTAAACAGGCAAGTATTCTATTTCTATTTTTGAGTCTGAGAACTATAAAAAGAATTCTGTTTCTCAAACAATATCTGCCCAGCATAAAATACAATCCCATGGACTTCTTTAAGGAATAAATCGTAGATCAAGCACATATGAAACAGAGAGTTTGTTAGATAAGTTTTCACCAATGTGGTTTCACTAGATTTAGTGAAATCTAGTAGGCTGTTACACACACTTTCATAAATTGGAAGCTACCTCTTTATATATGCAAATATATATTTTTACAAGCACTGATTTCCTAATCCTCACAACCACCAAATGCTGTTTCCATTTGAGTATAAAGTCTTGTATGGGATCAGACTCAGACTATTTAATTTCCTCCCCCAGTTTACATGTTTTGCCAAGGACATATTCTTTATCATCTGGTGCTACTCTAGTAAATGGTTGCAGAGAATGTGTGTTAGAAAACAGATGTATACAGCCAGATTCTGATATTGGCTAACATGAATTGAATCTAGGTTAAATCACCATGAAATCAGGACCTGAGAGCACCTTCAACAACTTAGGTTGGGCACTGGAAGCGGCACAGTCACATTAATACAAAATTCCACATCAGATAATGTTTGCTTTTTAGTATGGAAAATGAGTAAATATGGAACTGTGTGCTGTCACAGCTGGACTGTTTCTGTTCTACAGGCGAGTTAGTTTTCAGGAGCTTTTTTAAGAAAATATCTCATTTATAGTTATTTAGGGTGTCCATATATGGAATTGCATTCTACGAAGTAGAAAAAGATAGAGTCAATTGGTATAATGAATTCAGAGCTCCAGAGCTTTGATAATTGTTGACTCTCTGTCCCTCTTACAGACCACAGCCTTAATTCAGAACAAGATTTGGTTTTTTTCCTACCAGGACTCTTCTCTGTGCTAACTACTTCCTATTGTGAAACTCCACTCATTACTACTGCCCCTGGCACAAAGTGACTTGCACTGACAGTGTATTAAGGTTTAACTGTGCATGCCCAAGGGGAACAATGTCCACTCACACTTGGAGAGGGTTTTAAGAGGCTGACAAAACCACCAAACCAGCCACTCACCCTTCAGAAGCAGCTCACTTTTGTTTCAGATGACCCCCAGGCATTTTTAAAATCTAGGTCATGATGGTGACCATAGTCTGACTCTTTTTCTAAACAGTGCCTGACTGTGACTAAGAGGAAGGATATTTCCCTTCCTGAACTTTTACTCTTGCTTATGTCTTGGGCATAATGATTTTGATGAAGAAATGGTTTCAAGAAGAAGAGTGAAGATATGGATCTCATTTAATATGTATACACACTCTTCTTGCCTCCTCTGCATACCATCTGGCCCAACTTTCAGTAAGTGTATTAGATAAGTCAAGATTTTACCACTAAAACAAAGCTCTAAGAGCTTTATTGTATTAAGAGCTTTGCAGTCAACACATTTCTGGCTATCTTTAAAATGAGTAACAGCTGTGATCTCTCCCAATGAAGAGGAACAGATCGTATCAGCAACAGTAGGGTCATTTAGGAACTGTTCTGACACAAATCTTGACAGTGACTGCTTCTTACGTCCTTGATCAAGTCTCTTATCTTTTCTGTATTGCTTTTCCCCCTTATAAATGGCTGATGACACTCACAGAAGAGAAATATGTTTTTCTAGTGGGCCATTTGAACAACTAATTTTCTAATGCAGTCAAAAGGAATGGGGAAACAAAAGCACCTACTCTGTAAGACAGCAGGCATAGGGGACTGGTAGTTCACAGACAAGCTATAGCCCATTATTTAATTTTCATATAATCCTTGATTTAACTTCATAAGGCACAATACATTTTCTTTTTTAATTCTTATTAGATACCACTATGGTAAAATTCATCCAAATTGTTCCAAAACCAAATCTGGGCCACAGCAAAAACCACAACCATGCTGCATTAATGAGACCAACACTGGAAGGCTAACTAGAGTTCCAGAATTATTCTTTACCAAAGAATGACGAATCACAGAGAGAAGAGTGTAGAAAAGCATCAGAAATTATTCAGTGGCCTTACAGATCTCAATTTGTTGCTTATCAAAAACAACACTTAAGAAGCTACTTAAATATAATATCCAAATACTGAAATACAGATGATGTATCAGATATCCATGGGATCTTTAGCTTAGCAAAGAAAGATATAATAAGAACCTAGAGAACAAGGTGTCAGCCAGACAAATTCCAAATGAAAATAGGGTAGATATTTTTAACAATGAGGGTGATTAACCACAAGAAGAAACAGGGAAAGGTGAAGGTGTCCTGCTCTTAATGTTCTCAGATCAAGACAGGAGATCCTTCTGAAAAAAATGCTTTAAGCAAGTTATAACTAGATAGGAGTGCAAAATATTTAATTGTATGTATGCATACTTCATGTTGTAATGATCTCTTGTCCTTAAATACTGTGCATCTTTAAATATAAGTAGCAGGAGGGACTGCAGAGTCCATGAAAAGCAAGTTGGAATAAATAGCTAAGCATGGGAGAAGAGGGAGGAGAAGAAAACAGAGGAGAGACAGCAACTGAAGGGCACAATATACTAAAGTTGACAGCACATGCATGAGCAGTAGAAAATGAAAAGGGGAGGGAGAAGAGCTACAACATTAAACAGAGAAAAGGAAATAACCTGGAAAAGAACTTAGTATTTTAGACAAGGTTGGAGGCAAAGGGAAGCAAACAGAAAAAAGAAAGTAAGACAAAACACACGCACACAGATTTTAGATTGGGGAACTAAATGTAATGCACGATGCATGTATTTTGTGTAAATTCCTTGACAGACACCCTATCAGGATGCCTTTCGAAGATGTTTTTATTTTTAACCTGCAAGTCCAAAATGTAGTTTGCTTTAGTATGTTCAAAATCTTTATACAAACATTTCTGTTAAAATGATGTACTGAGAACCTGTCCGTAGTACACCTGTGACTATGCTGTGTATGGTATTGCTATAGATATTAAAGCAAAAGCTTCTAGTCTGTTTAGTGCAAGCATGATGGCACACAAGGCTCTGACACCTTCCAGTCATGTTCTGTAATAATGCTTTCTGAAGTTTTTGTGAGGGGCTTACAGGCTGATCTTGCATTCATGCATCTTCTTTCCTCTAACATTGAGGCTACAAGGATTTAATTCACAAGTCTTCCATCCTGTTAATAAGTACACTTCCAAACGAAAAGGGGGTGTGATACAGGAAATCAGAAGAAATGCTGTGTGTGTGAATCCCAAATCAGTGTCTTGGTTAGAGGAGGGGTGAGGATGCCTTTTAATAACTCCAAATTTTACTGACCTTTATAGCCTCGGTTCTATATCCCTTAACTAATGCTTTTTCCCATCAGAAGCTCTTCATTCCTTCCATCTCAGAAATTCAAAATCCAATAATTCCCAGTACACTCAAAGCATCCTAAGCCAGAGTTGTCAGCTACTCTTTTCCTTAAACCCTTGTTATCCCTGAGCCTTCCAGCCCATGCCAAAATTCTGTATTCCTTCCAATCACCTACCATCCCACCCTAATCCTTCCACAACCTAATCCTCCAACCTAAAGCTTTCCCATCTAAAATCCCCTGCTCCTTCCTTCCTTTGCCAAAGCTCACTCATCCCTGCAACTCAGATTTTGTAACTACATACTTACAAATTGTATCCTCCTGGTCTGCTGAGGGTATGTCCTTTCCCCACACCTTTCACCTTCCTCATGCCTGCTGGTATGCCCTTTTGTACTCCAGTTAGCTGCTGTCATCAGCTAAAATTACCACCTCATTTGCTTTTCTCTGAAAAAGGTTAACCCTGGCTCATGCCTTGGAAAGGTGAATAGAGGTGGCAGCTGCATAGATCCAAATGTATCTGCCAGGACTCAAGGTGGCAGAAAATGAGGGCATGTCTGAGGAAGAAAAGAATACTTGCCATAGTCAGAACAGTAAAATGACACAGCTCCTTACAATTTATAATCTGCTTCAGCGATTTCTTATTCTGACATTTTTTAAAGCAGATGAACAACCTTTCTTGACTTTTTTTCTCCTCAGCTAAAGAAGGCTATTTCATCAGTGGATGCCATGATATATCCATGTAGCACTGTAATTCCAAATGGGAAGGTGCTATTATTTGGGGGAAGTAAAATAAGCAGTTTAGAAACCGTTACATCACCAATGACAGAAAGCTCTCCAGCATGTATTTCAGATTATTACGAGATCAAAAATAATATTTGTTCTTTGCATAATTTTCAGAGAGAAGGTAAAGAGAGGAAGAGGAAAAGGGAGAAATGCATGGGCTGTATTTGACACCTCTTTAAGAGTTCTTGCATTTTACCAAGATTACATTTATGAGACGCATACACATAGGAAAGCAGGTTTCAATAATTCCACTTTTTACATAGAAACTTGCTGTCTAAGGGATAAAGTAGTGGGAAAATATGTTGGGTTTAGCATGTACAGATGACTTAGCCATGCGCTTCAGTTTCTCATCAGAAAGGTGATGCAGACGCTGAGATAGCTGTCAGACAGTCCTAACTAGCACTCAGTTGTAGTCTAAGGCAAATACAGAATATGCTAAATGAACCCAATATTTTTAAAATGGAATAGTGTAAATAGAACAAATGCATTTTCATTTCATCAGGAGTATTTTCACAGTATTTCATTGCATGGAAGCTGACAACTTCAGATAGTACTGCTGTTACAGCTGAGGCAGCTGAAGGAGATAGCTGTTTTGTATCTATTAGAATGGCTTGCGTGCCTGGAAGCTCTTTTTCTTCTGTTACGTCAGTTGATCTAGTGAAAGATATAGTCTGTCCTCACAAACCTTGCCCACTTTAATTAGAAATCATTAGTGTAGTCCACATAGCAGAATTCCATGCAATCCCGTGCCTAAGCAACACAGTTACAGCCATGTCTCTGCTATCCACCCCTTGATACGCTCTGCTGTGGCTTGAGAGCTGGCAGAGGCCCTGGAACAGGCGGAAAAAACAAGCAATGCAAGTCTAAGACGTCAGCTTTAGGATTTTACTTAATATATAAAATGGAACCAAGATCTTTGAATTTAAGGAAGAAACTGAAGGTTGGAAACTAATGCCTGTCTCTTTCAGGTATAGAGCAGTTGCCTCCTGGAGCCGTGTTCAGGGAATTGGAATCCCTATGATCACTGCTATTGAAATTTTCTCCATTTGGCTTCTGTCCTTCATACTGGCTATTCCAGAAGCAATTGGTTTTGCTGTGGTACCGTTCAAATACAAGGATGAAGGTTACGTTACCTGCATGCTCAATCCTACAAATAATTTTACCTTGGTAAGTAACAGCCTTCCTTCTCTTTTTCGAATCCACAGTATATAGGTTAGACAATTAAGATACTGCATTATAATACGCTTTATTCATCTGTTAAAGTGCAAAAGGTATTCTAATGTATATTGTACAAAGCGGATCCTTAATTTACAGTGACCCGTCTCTACTTTCAGCCAGAGATACTAAATGGGACTTTACAATATTTTCATTTCTTCACTACTGAGGTTTCTTAATACCGAAATTTGCAATTTGAGCCTGCTTAAAGTACAACCCAGAAATGTATCAGGGTAGCCAGAGCCTTGGAAGGTATTGTGTTTCCAGGTGTAACACCTTGGAGCTTGTAACTGTCAAAAACCATGTTTTACCATGATTAGTCATCATTTTGCATGCAGTAGCCAGCTCTTTTGGCAGATAAAGAAAAGGGTGGGGCCATGCTCGAACATAACTTTTCCTATTCTATATTCACTTACAAAGTCAAACAGAGAATAACCCCCTTCATTTACAAGAAATCATGACTAGAAATCTGACACGCTCACATCTCCAACCTAGGTAGCTTGGGCACTGTTAGCTGTCATCTAGATACGGGAACTCAAGAGCAAGAGAAGTGCCTGAGACACACCAGGCTTCTTTGGCATGTTTCATAGCCCTCATCCTCTGTGCTACTGCAGCTTAACAGCTGCCAATACCTACATTAGCATGCTCAAAGTAAGCCAGGTGAGTAGTCGCTACAGAATTAGTAGATCTTTACTGCATTTGGGGATAGTGATTATCCACCTGGCCTTAGACTGAGAAAGTGGGAAAGTGCTATCTTAAGTCCTTCATGACCCCAAAGAAGGGCCAGCCACCATTCACCCAGTAATAAAAAAAAGAGTAATATTCTGTTTTGTCTTAAGAGAAGGCAGATAGTGCAAGGTCTTAAGTCTTGAGAGAAACTCCATATTTTTGTCCGGACTAGAATTTTTCATGATAGAGTGCAAGTTTCTCTTTTTTGAATGTGTGGCACTTCTCCTTTTGTTGGATCAGAACATGGCTTGGGCTAGAATTGGGAAGGATAGGGCAAAACGGAGCTAGGAAATTTAGAAAATAAAAAGTGTGGATGATCAGTGTTTTTCACAGTTTTCAAGGTGCTTTTCAAAACACACCCAACTTTGGCAGGGTTACACAGACTGCAGGGATGGCAGAAAGAGCAAGAGACAATTGCAAGAGAAGACAAAAGGAACTCCCTAATGGCAGTAATTAATGCAGGTGAAGATGGAGTGGAATTGCCTAGGACTTACTGTATCTTTGTTTCTAAACTCTACAAAGTATATGACTGTACATACTGTAGTTATAAGAATATGATTTATGAAATGCACACTGCAGCAAATTTCCCTTTTGTAATGGCTGTTTGTCCCCACAAATGTGTCTGGACAATCTTCACTTCCTCTCTCCCTAAGAAAAAGAATAGTTTTCTCTCCCCTCTTCTCAAAACTACTACAGTTCAGGTCTTCCATAGGCATGCTACCTTTTACAATTATTGTTCTGTTCTTAATGTGGTAAGTAGAATAGCTTGTTTTGTTTTATTAGCAGGAATTAGTATCTTTTACTTGCTCAGCATAATTCAAAAGCTCCAAATCTCCCCACGCCAGTTTGATTTTCAAGGAAACAAACCAGCGTTTACGTCCAAGCTGAGAGTAAATGTTGGACGTGTCAGTCAAAATGGGGAGTGTTATGTTTCAATGCGTTGCACCAAGTACAAACATGAGATTAAAATGGAAATACCATTTTAACCTTAACTGTAGTATTTACTACCACAAACACCACAATAAACAATCACTAAACGTTGGGAAGGATTTATGATTAACTTTTTTTTTTTTAATGGAAGCTTTGTTCATGTTTAAAGCTATCCTTGAAAGACTTAAAAGATTCATGCTAGACCATGATGATTCCCCAGAGGCTGAGCGCACTAGGAAACTTGTTTAAAATGCACATTTCCTGTAGAAAACCAGTTCCATGTGGGCTTTCAAGACAAACAAAAGAATGTCTACTTCTCTTAAATCAACCCAATTTTGTACTTTGATGTAAGCTTTGTGAAACTCAGATTCCACAATTAATCATTTACAGACATTTTCATGTAGGTTTTATAACTTCACAAAGCCAGGTCCTCATACAGAATTGATGTGTTGGTCAGGGTTGTGACACAGAACTTTACGTGTGTGTTTTCTTGACTGACAGGCAATGCTAATGAAAGCTGGTAGAATGATATGACAGAAAGTTTTCCTTGTAAACATAGCATGGCTTCACACAGTACACATTTTGTTGTGCTGCCCAACCAATATGATTCCAGTCTGACTTGGAGGAATTTGCCACGGAAAATATAATTGTCTCCATGTATTTGTAATCCTTTTCTCTGCAGAAGGAGTGGTAATTACATTTCCCCTCAGTACAAACTCTTCAAATATGAGGCATATTCTTTTCTGGTTTGCTGCTGGCAGAAGCTCTGTTCCCAGTGGGGGAAATTCTGCTCCCAAGGAGAGTGCAACTATGCAGCAGACTGTAGCACCTCCCCACGCAGGGATGAGGCTGATGAGGAGGAGGAAACAAGCTAATCAACACAATTCAAAATGCCCTGTGAGGTGGGGTTGTGGCCTAGATACCAGCAGCATACTTTAAATTAGCAAGCTCTGTAAGCAGCTAACTCTGTTGGGGCAGAGGGAGAAAAATCCCCTTTTTTTGTGAAACTCAGATTCCACAATTAATCATTTACAGACATTTTCATGTAGGTTTTATAACTTCACAAAGCCAGGTCCTCATACAGAATTGATGTGTTGGTCCGGGTTGTGACACAGAAAAAAAAAGCATTCCCTTTTTCTTAGTGAAACAACTTTCTAGCATAACTAAACCAGATTTGAAAATGAACATTATTAAATACTAGTCTATTAATTGCATCCCCTTTTTTCATCTTTCAGAGTTTAGTACTGTTCTGTTTTAAATGTAAACAAGATGTCAAAAGTTTGACTTTTTCAAACAGGATTCATATAATCCTCAGTTATTAGCATTGTGACATTTAGTATGGGAACTGTGATGTTACAAGAGCACATCCGCTAGGAATAAACAACCTAGGGGAAAGATTATGAGAAAGAAGGTTCCCTTTTACACACATCCATCTCAGTGACTAATAACATAGAGACAGGAAGTATTTAAAATGTCATATCTCAGTGCACACTTTTGGCTGAGCATAAAAGTTAAAAACCAAGATACAATATTTTCTCAAGTCTGAAAATACAATCGTCTACAGAAAAGAGTAATTTTAAATGTTTTGTCAAATGTAGTATTTCCTACAATACATAAATGTATTAACTTAAACAACAGCTTAAATCACAGCTAACACTTAAAATTACACAGCAAAGTACCGCTACTCTACCAAGTCCCTCGTGTCCTGTCACAAAAGGCAAATGGTATGAATGGCAGGCAAAGGGTTAAAACTAACTGTACCACTAGAAGCCACACGTCCTAAGCTTTCCATATATCAGACAAGTGGCTCCTATCTGCCCAGTACATAAGCAAACCAACTACCAATCTTTTCACTGATAACAAAAGGTGATTAAACTTACAAGACGTTTTGAATTTTCCTTTTTTGGAATCAGGACAGAAGCCGTAGAGGTAAATGGCATTTCCTGAGACAGGCTTTTAGTAAGATTTGTTATCTCAAACTGACACTGTCTACATTTTGGCATGTCTTTTTCATGAAACTGGATTCCAGTTTTCATGAATAAGTGTAAATGTTCAGAAAACACACAAAAAAATTAATTCCAACCCAAGACAGATTGCAGCAAAGGTACAGGCAGGCTATCCGTAAGGTAAAATAAATGTTTACACTGCCACAGTTCCCATTTTGATGTTGGTCCAAACTGGATCAACAATAAGAAAGTTTACATAATTTTTGCTGTTTACCAATAGACAGATACCAGCATACCAACTATCACACTTTCCAAGACCCTTCTGTGGTACTTTCCATTGAATCATAATAAAGTATCTTCTCTTTTCTTTACCTTATCTACAGTTTTACAAAGATGCAAAGGACTGGTGGCTGTTTGGTTTCTATTTCTGCATGCCACTGGCATGTACTGCCATCTTTTATACGCTAATGACTTGTGAAATGTTAAACAGAAGAAACAGCAACTTGAGAATCGCTCTCAGTGAACACCTTAAGCAGGTAAATATTAGGAACACCAATGTTTGAAAACACTGTTCTTCTCTTTTTGGGTTAGCTTAGAAACGTTTCGAAGTGTACTTCAATACAGTACATTACAGAAATAGAAAGTGAGTATGTAGGTTATTTATGATGTTAAGGTATTCATTTAAACCTGGAACACAAGACTAAATCACAGTGTAAGGAGGTATTGAAGACAGCATGCTCAGGAAACTAGCCAGTTTCTTTCTCTTCTTAAGTATGTATGACAGTTGTGCTCTCCTGCTCTTTAACCTCAAATCACTACTGGCTAAATGCTTTGAAATTTAACTACAAAGATTTGCCAAAAAAATGTTTCTTTTTATTTGTAAAGATATGACTCCATGGGTCCTCCCTACTTTTGGCATACTTTGATATGCAACTTTAGTTTCATATAAAAAGCAATTGTAGAATAACCTGGTTTAGAATGGAGTGCATTTTTTTTTTCCAGGGTTATTGTACTGTTGCTGTACCACTACTGTAGCTGCTTTGAAAAGAGCAACAGGAGAATAGTACAAACAAATGATCATAGAGTCGAGTCACTCACGGAACCGTCAGATCTCACTTTGCTGTTTTCGCAGCACTGTCTGATGTTTAATTCCTAACTGAAATTTTAAAAACAATCTGTAGCTTTTCCCCTGTGTTAACATCAGCCCCTCAAATTCTACTCTTTCAAATTCCTCATTCACAGATGTGAATCCCTAAAGCAGTCCCCTCTGCATCGGAGTGAGCTCTCTCAGAGGTTCCTCCTCTGCTGGTTCATTCCAGATCAGGGCAGACCGGAAAATCCTCCCCTTGTGCAGATCCTCCACTTTTTCCCCTCCTCAGGCCCCAGGGCCTGCAACAGTCTCCTAGGGCCGCAAATAAGCTGCTCCACCCATTAGAACTAGAATGGTATGTACGGGGTGGGGGAATCCACCCTCCAGCTTTCCCATCCTGACATGCAGTGCCCAGCAAGCTACTTGGACTGGTTGCCGGAGGATGACTTTATGTCCCAATTTAAAAATGCTTGTCTTTTTAACTATCACCTTTTGCCCTTCTTTCTTCCTTCCTTCCCTTTAGCCTTGTCCACATTAATGTCTAGTCATGATCCTTTTCCTATTTTGATAAAAACTGCTATTACAAGAAAGAAGAAACTGTAATAGTCATATTCAAAGCCTAACAAGACTTACTGTAATCAAACATTTGAATTTGAGTTTTTTAATGACAGAGCCTTGCAATGCTTGTAATTGTTATATTACAGTGGCAGTTTCAGAAGTGGTATTCTTACCCCTTCAACTGCTTCTCTTTACCAAACCCATGCCTACCAAACACCACTGGTATGCATTGTCAAAAATACACTAAAACATCTGTAAATCTCTAGAGCCATATAAAATATCCATTAAATTGAGATTATTTCCTGACTAAGTATTATGAGATTAAGCTGTAATACAGACATTTCTAAAATTTTGTTTGTAGAGGAACTATTTGCTCTAAGAACATCAAGATCACATAACAAGGATCACATAGCAAAATTAATATACTGTGCCATATGCCTTTATGTAACATGATGCATACTAAATAGAAAATGATACATCAGAGAGAATTTGACATCTGACTAGGTATGTGGCTGAATGGAGCTTTTATTGCCAATTGATTTAGGTGCCTTGGGTTTACAGATTGCCCCACATCAAGGATTAGGTACAAGTGGTTTATCAAGCAGGTGTGATCCATTTCCCTCATACATGAAAAAGTTTTCTTGCAGATTATGCATGTTTCTGAAGAAACCTACTTTGCTGCCAACATTACTACACTACAATCACCTACCAATACGAATTAGGCACTCAGTCATATTTATCTTTACTTCTTTTTCTAGCGTCGAGAAGTTGCAAAGACAGTTTTCTGTTTAGTAGTGATTTTTGCTCTTTGCTGGTTCCCTCTCCATTTGAGCCGAATTTTGAAGAAAATGGTATACAATGAAAGAGACCCTGGCAGATGTGAACTGCTCAGGTACTTAATTTTCTATGTCAATCAATTGTTTATACTGAAAAAATATAATGTCGCATACTTGAAATTTATGTGAGAAATGTCATTGTGCATGCAACTGTAGTGTTAGAGGAGCAAACACTTTATTTTATGACTTTTCAGCTGCATCCATTTTCAGGGGTTTCAGTTTTAATGGGGTAGCATAATTTCAATAAATGTTGTCTGTCACCGTCACAATCACTTTCCTCTGGCTTTTGTGAACTTCTGTGAGACAGGTTGTTACAGACCTGGCATGGAACAAGATTAGATTGAGGGAGTTAGGTAAGAGATTGTAACCACAAAAAGCACGGATGCTTCTACAGTATATGAAGAGTTTAAATGTTTTGCTTTCTCTTTTGTTGCCTAGTTTCTTGCTGCCATTGGATTATATCAGCATCAACCTGGCAACCATGAACTCTTGTATAAACCCAATAGCTCTGTATTTTGTGAGCAAGAAGTTTAAAAACTGTTTCCAGGTAAGATCTTCTTGGTAAGATTTTATGTCCAGTTAATGTACTGTATTAAATCACTTATCGCTTATCTATTTTTAGCAGGTGGGAGAAGAGGCATGCAAAGGAATCAAAGGTTATAAATTGTCTAGTTTACCAGTTAGCAGCTCATATAGCACACATACCAAACTGAAAGTGGAACTATCCACTTTATCTGAAATGCTAAACCAGTAAATAAGTTTGACATAGTCCTCATATGTAAACATGTAAACTGAGATAGACACGCTCTTGTAAGTACTACTTATCTGCATGTGACATGTACATGAAATAGAATTTGGTTTATAACATATTTCCCACTGTAGATGACGACAAAGAACACATACACAGGACACCAAGCTGCCTGCAGTTAAACAATCCCATTAACGACTAAAATTTTCAGGCTTGAATACCGAAGCAGGCACCTGAGTTGACTTTGGCGATTGAATACTCATTATGGCTTTTACCTGCATTTTTCCAGTTCCTACACATGAAAACATATTTTGAGGCTAAAATAATTTCCTTGTGACACTGTGCCTCTGCAAGTCCCCGTTCACCTAATAAATGCAATACCAGAAGAAAGAAAATGAGAGCATATAGTGGTAAAGAAAGTAATGAAATGGAAAAGGAGACTGAAATAGCTTTATCTGCAAAGAAAAACAAAAGACGACAGGACTGTACCACTAAACTTTAGGTCTGCGAATAGGCAACTCAAGCTACTGAAAAAATGTAATCAATTATTAGAATAGGGAATACCTGTTTGTCTGTAGCCTGCTCAGACTTACAAACTCTTTTAAGAGAGTATTTTCACATGATAAATAAGAAGTCAGCTTTGCTTTTTACAGTCCCCTGCTTCATTTGGGAACTGTGGAGATAATATGCCTGAACCTGTCCTTAGGTGAAAGGGAGAAGTAACAGTGGGTACTACTACGCTGCTCCTCACATCAGTAGTTCGTTCTTCCCATTTGTCTTTCCAAATAAAATTACCATCCAACAATTCTAATTAAAAAATTTTCAGCTATAATTTAGTCCTTCCCAGCTTCTCATTATAGCTTACCCTTTCCCTTCTAGTATCAAGGTTGTTAATTCAGGCAATCTTTCCATTTTGTATTTTGAGTTTCTCACCCTACCTCTGTTGCTGTTTTACATACCCACCCATAGATAGACAGTACATATACCTTAAGTCTCTGCAACACTCCCTTCTCACTGTGTTCACAGAAGTCATAGATCTACTCCTGTTATTGCCATTGCTCCTCTGAGGCCCTAACTCCTTCCCCTAAAGTAGAGATCCCCTCTACATAGAATTAGGCACTAGTTTTTGTGAAGGGAGGGGAGGATAGCTGAAAAATCCTCTCTGCTCCTTTCAGAAGAGACAACTGAACATACTAGCCTGTGAAGAACCTGGGATTATGATCCTGAATGACCTTCTATTCTGAACTGTGAAAAATGATACACCTCAATATATTCACTGTCCCTTTTCCTAAACAATTTTGTCTTCTAAGATGTGAGAAGAGGCCTAAGTCACAGGCTGGGGAATTTTCTTCTTTTCTCTTACATGCTAAGCAGCATGAGGATCCCTAAGTTTGGAGTGCAGTGATAAAGAGGAAAAAAACCGAACCCAGCTCTTACAACATGTATTGAGTTCTGTCAGTTCTCATTCTATTTACCTTAGTCAAACAAATTTCCCTTTTGATACTGTGAGTTTTTCTTAAATAACAGGCACAGGCTGGGCCTAATTTGCTGCTTTTGTGATGTTTAATCACAAGAATTGTTTGCATCCTAGGATAAAGAATTTGCCTGAGTGCAGCTATCACTCCCTTCAGCTAGAATTGTCTGTTCATTTCTGCATAAAATATATGGCTGGCAATCTGCATAGAGTTGATACATTTGTGTTAACCTTTTCCTTTTTTTTTTTTTAATTTCCAGTCATGTCTTTGCTGTTGCTGCTCCCAATCTAAGAGTCTAGTGACTTCAGTGCCCATGAATGGAACAAGTATTCAGTGGAAAAATCAAGAACTAAACAATCACAATACAGATCGAAGCAGCCATAAAGACAGCATAAACTGAAAATTAAGGACTCTGATACCACTTCAGAATCAAACAGGAAAAAAAGTCACAACAAAGCTATTTCAACAGGAAGCCCAGTGACTGTTCCATAATCAATTCAGACGTGTGCACCCTTGTACCTAATTCTAGAGGTGACTGAGTAGATTGACTGACTATAACTGTGATGTTCTGTCAACTGAGATCCACTGGATGGTAATTGTGTCTCTGAAAATGTTATTGATGTGATTATGACACAAAAAAAATGACTTGAACTACACAGGTGGTTTGCTCTTCTGAACCAAGCAGGAACTGTCCAGTGTCTGTGACTGGTACAATACAATCGTATTACCCAATTGTAACCTAGAATTAATCACGGCGGAATTTTTCAGAAGATATCAAAATGGAATCTGTCTGTGACTATATTTTCTCTCTGCCCATTTGTCTTTTAACTTTTTTTGTGTGGTGGATATATTCCATGCACCAGTATGTTTTGCATGTTGTTGCTGTTGTTGTTGTTGTTGTTGTTGTTGTTTTTCAGGTTTATGTTGGAAAACGTTTTGGTTCACACCAGTATTTTATTTACTTATGTTGCAATGGGTCAGGATATTAGCTGGGCAGTTCACTTTTGTAGCACTTCAGTACTCAAAAATAGGAAGAAACCATTTAAAGTAGCGTCAACATTTGGCACTTAAGCACAGATTAATACCATAAAATGAGGTGTTAATAATACAGTACTATACTGTGTTATTTATTCTAATGCTCTGTACAAAATAAACATAATAAGCATAATCTATATCAGCAAAAAGAATGAAAGATGCCCACAGAGGGGCACCTTACCATGTGTTTTTAATTAACCTGCCATGTTAATTCTTAAAGTATATGAACCTATTAATCTATTTAGACTGTAGCTGTGTTAAATCTAAGTCGAAATGAGGGTCAGTGGAACACAGTGAAACATTATCAAAGCTGTCCAAAGAGTTCTGAGAATATGGTTATTATCATAGCAGCTACGTACAGCACTACTTACACATTGTGAACATGAGGTTATAGTCATAGTGAATGCAGAACTGCGGAAGTCCATAACAGTTGGATGTGCACAAGGATATTTTGTGCCTTATGCTTACAGAGTTCTTTGTCTTATTCTCGCAGCATTGAAAGATTTTAATGGGGTTTGATGGTTTATTAGAATTGTTAACCGTACAAATGCTATGAATAATATACAGAAAATATTGCTTGCATACATGTAAACTTGTGATTTACTTATTATTTCCATCCATTATGGTTACATGGCAAGAGATTCCTTGTTTGGCTATAAAAATTTTTAATAGGTAGCCTTTCATTAAATAGTGGAATTAAATAGTGTGGTGTCATATATAATATGCCTCATGCACAGATCTGCTAGGAAATTTATAGCATCTGTTGTGCCAGGCTAAGAAGCAGTAATTAAAATTCCACAAATTTTTAAACATCCATTACATTTCAAGTGAAAGATATAATCCTGCGTATTTTTATTTACGAGGTCAAAATGCTAGTAGTGCATTCTGTGACTTCTGCTGCACAAGTTTCCCAAATGTTTACATTCACACAAATCTTCTAAAGTATATTAAAAAACCAAGTCCTTTAAATCAGTTTATGTATTTTTGTGTGCTTTTGTCTCTGTGACATATATGCGTGTATAAATACATACAAATTTATGTTCGTATGTTATAAATGCAAATACAGTCTTCTGACAGTGCTCTGTAGTAGTGCCGTAAGAGCATGGTATTGAATGAGACTTGGCTGAATTTTATTCAAAACATTTCATCCTCAAACTGTATAAAAAATCATAGTAAATGAGTAACAATGCTTTCCTTTGAGAAGGTTGAATTACTGAGTCTCTGTACATCCTGACACCTTCACTGATCCTTTGACAGAATGTACTGAGCAGATGATAAAGGTAAACAGAAAACAGACATGAGGAATGGATTTAAGTTGTAAATTGCCCCTTCTTTATTTCAAAGCAGGAGAAAGCTTTGTGTGCATTCCCCTCTTCTGTTACTTATCTGATGGTTAGATGAACCAAAAAAATCATACTATACCAGCAAAGCAATAATCTGATTGTTCAGAGACAATCTTTTCTACCTGTCTACATAAGACGGTGAGCAGTAGAGACAATCCAGGGCAGAAACTTTAGGACTCAACTTCTACAGAAAAAAAGCATCTACCTGCAAAAGTTTCAGACCTTGAAATGGACCATTTTTAGGTTTTACCAGCACTGATACCAACCACAAGTCATGGAAAGGTAGCACTTTTCCTTCCAGCATTAGCACTTCAAACAGCTATTTCTTTCAAACCAATAGTTGGCTCTGTTATGTGGCAGAGATATATGCATGTGCACAGACAAAGAATACTTTAAGCCAGTTCAGCTTGATGGAAAAAACATCTTCCTACTCCCCAAAGAGCTGACTGACCTTAGTGGCAGCATTATAAAATACAAACCTGTTTAACTAAAGGAAAAAAGAGGGTGAAATAACAGATATGAGAGGTGTTTTTTTTAGAATGCTTTAGAATGATTTTTGGAAGCTTACTTAGGGATCAAAGCCTGCAAAAACTAATTGGTGATCCTCATTCCATCTCCTCCAGCCAGTGGAAGGACAGGCAGAGCTTCAATAACAGTGACAAGTGAGGTCTCTGGAGGTCTTGGGCTCTTTTTTGCTATGCATGCTCTTTTGTATATTCACTGGTGGCTGCTGCTCCCACTCACAAACCAATCATATGGACAAAGGGTGTTACGATGTGGCAATTATGGTGAGGGGGGAACTGTTTCTGTAAAACTTACTAAGGCACTTACTTTTTAAATTCTCTCCTATTCTTCCCACTGATAATGGAAAATATTCCTCCTAGTATTGTATCTACCCTCAATTCTAAAAAAGCTACCCTTCCAAAAGAACCAACAACGGTCTTCCACAATTCTGAAATTCAACCTTATTTAGTTTTAACCTTTCCTTTCCTGCCAAGTTCTGCAAAAAGGTGCTCTGGCATGTCTCAGTGTGCATCAAAAACCAGTCCAGGTTTACTTGGGATTTTCCTCTGCTGTTGCACAGAAGCTGCTTTCTCTTTTACATCAGAATAACTTTCCACAACAAGTATCCTTCCATCCTCCGCTTATTTTATAATGTTTTTATGTCTGCTGTTTGCATTCCTCTCAGCTGAACCAAGCTTAGCTTTTCTCTGCAGCTGACAGGATCTCTATTCCACAAGCTTCAGATTAATTTCTTACACTTTTTGTAACATCTGTTCATCATAATCAAAATCCATTTAACTATCACAATCATCTTTTTTGTGGATTTCACAATTCCCAACTCTTTTCAGTCCAGGCAGTGCAAAATTTCATTGACTGTTTCCTCTTACATACAGTCTAACATCTCAAATTGAAACACTTTGCAGTTCTTTTTAATTTTAGAATCAAGTTATTCTTCTTTATTTCAATATGCCATTTTTTTTCAAACTAAACTACCTCACTAAACATTTCCTCTTTGGTATACTTTATACTTACTTGCTTCAAAGATACAACATACATAGGTTTTCACTTATATTTATGTTTGTATTTATTTACATTTGAAACTCTGTGCTTCAGACCTGACCTAGCCAGCTCCTGTGCTTTGGAAAAAAGTGCCTATGTAGTTAATTCATCATAAATCTCACCTGATAGAACTGTTAGCTTGGTTCTGTGAAAGGAGGCTTATGCAAACCTCATGTCTGAATATGTTTATTTTTGCTTTTAATACAGTCAGTTTCAGGTGTTTACCTGTCTGTCTCTCCCTTTTTCAAAACCAACTACGAACCCCCTACCCAATTTCAATAAATTTTACAGAACAGAGTTATTATAGTTATGAAGCTACAGAGAGTTTCACAAAACCTGCAGGATGGGTAGAAGAACAATATCCTACTCATGCTCTATGCAGAAAATTGCTGAAATGGAGTTTACATGTACTCAACAGATTCACATGATAGAGATATGTTATGAACATTACAGATGCAGAAAAAGCTTTGATCAGAGCTTGCAACTTGTAAGACATCTGAGAATCAAACCACAACACACAAATTCTTGGAAACCAGTATTTGTAAGTTCCATTGCTTTTGGAATTATTTGCTTTTTTGCTGGTTCTCTCTCATCATTTACATATTTACCACAATCTTGTTACTGTATCATTTGATTCCGTGAAGCCTTACGGGTTTCAGTTTGTGAGAAGACATGGTACAAATTCAAATTCTTCTGCATTTGTATGAACAGATTTCTGCTCAAATGTCCCTGAGGCAAAGCATGCATTTTCATTAGAAGAAACACACTCGGACTGTATGCTAACATTGCCTTGCAAAATTTCTTCCAGACAATCAGTTGTGCAAAGCTTGGCTCAGCGAAGTATTCCTAATTTACACTCCTTACCTTTTCAAAGACTAAAAAAAGGCAATTATCTCCAAAATCAAAGTAAGAGAAGACACATAAAAAGTTTACAGAACCGAAAAAATTCCCAAGTTGCATAGGGAAAAAAACAACAATCAAAACCAGGCATGTTTAAAATGTGGTTCTAAAAGAAATGCAGCTTATCATTAGTCCAAGTGTGGGAAAGGAAGATAAGAACTAAATAAAAAAATGTAGGCCATCTCCAGTTTCTTTAACGGAAGATGAAATTAATTGACCTCTAGTATCTTATCTAGAATCAGCTTTTTCCCTGTACAGATACCACTGCTTCTGAAATGAACTGTTGCTTGAGACACAGTTTTGCAGTCTCATTAGTTACAATAGCTTATTATTATAATAAAGCTCAACATAATAAGTGTTACAATGGATAAGAAAAAAGAATTTATTCCGTTCTTCAGCAGCACTCTGCCCACATTTCTCAGAGTAACTGATGATCTGCAAACTGCTCTGAAATCAATGACTTGGAAATACTTGGTGCATCTCAGAATAAGGCCTTTACTTTAATCTTATGCCGTCTTAGTCCTTGGGAGTAAAAAGGCTGAGTCTACAGGTTACTGAATCAAGCATCCAAAACGATTAATGAGAATAATTTCTAAGCCATCCAAGAGAACATGCATTCTGCTATATATTTTAAACATAGGGGAAGATCAGAAATCCATCATTACTAAACACCACTGTGCCATCCTGTAGCCACACTTCCTATTTATTGAAATCTCTGTGTCTAAAGTTTCTGTGTCTTTTTCCCCTCCAAAACTGTTGTACAGTGGCCTCCTTGGTATTGGTCTGAATAAAGTATACATTTGGATTAGCTTTATTTCAAATATCTACACAGTATTAACAAAGCATCCATCTCCAGATACATGGTATATTCCAGTACAGAAGCACAATTAAACCACACTATCAGAAAAGTCACAATTTTTTAGGGTTAAGTTTTAAACAGAAGATTAACATAGTGCTCTTGGAGCAAATGAATACTACAGTTCAGTACTACTACTGGAAAATATATTGGGGGGGGGGTGTCAGAAAAAAAGAGAAACTATGTCACTTTGGCTAATTCAACCAGAATTAAAATAATAATTAAAAGAGTAGATGTTTACATGAATAATGTTTACATGAATAATGAGAAT